ACTGAGCTGGTACAAAGAGCATTAGTGTCCGTTGCATCGCCTGTCCGGTCTGCAGAAACGGTCTCAATGGAAAAGGATGAGGTTTCTGCGATTAAAACTGGTCTTAGAAAAGTGAAATTTTTTAAAGAGTATGTTTCTAACAGGACAGCTAAAAAGGCCTGTCGAGAGGATGAGGTCAGTGAAGGAAGGTGTTCCGCCAGGAGTGATGATGGTGAGTATCCGTTGGACACAGATTCACTTGATGATTTCGAGGAAGGAGAATCAGATGAGGGCAAGGGTGACTCTATTGTCTGGAAGTCATTTAGTTATGGTACTCTGGCGTATGCGAATTATGCTGGAGGATCGTTTTATTCCAGCATGAAGATCAACGAGGAAGGTGAGGATTGGGTTTACTACAACAATCATAAATCTGATGTTGGCTCCTCGAACATTGTGGATTCTGCTGCATCAGTGTCGGAGCCATCCTTGCTGTCAAGTTCGAAGCGCAGCATTTTGCCTTGGAGAAAAAGGAAGCTGAGCTTCAGATCTCCGAAAGTTAAAGGGGAGCCATTGTTGAAGAAATCCTATGGAGAAGAAGGCGGGGATGACATTGATTTCGACCGCCGCCGTCAACTTAGCTCTGATGAATCCCATGCACCTGGGGTAAGAATCAAGAATATTTAGTTTTGATTCACATTACATCTCTTGATCATCAATCCTCTTGCATCGGATTTCTAATCCCGAGTTTTGCCGTGTTATATATCTTGATTTTCTTATGAATTCATGCAACTCTCAAGATGTATGTTTATGTATTTGATTCGAGATTTTTAGATCCTACATTCCAACGCAACTCATTCTTTTATAAACTCCGGTCGTTTGAGTTAAAGCATATGAAGTTCTGAATCTAACTACCATTTCTTTTGGCAGTGGCACAAGACGTATGAAGATTCATCTGCAAATCGTTCATCAGTTTCTGATTTTGGGGACGATAATTTTGCTATCGGCAGTTGGGAACAAAAGGAAGTGGTTAGCCGTGATGGGAACATGAAGCTTCAAGCGCAAGTCTTCTTTGCTTCTATTGATCAACGGAGCGAGAGAGCAGCCGGTGAAAGTGCATGCACTGCCCTTGTTGCTGTCATTGCCGATTGGTTTCAGAATAACCGTGATTTGATACCAATCAAGTCTCAATTCAATAGTTTGATCAGAGACGGCTCGTTGGAATGGAGGAACCTCTGTGAGAATGAAACCTATAGGGAGCGGTTTCCTGACAAACACTTTGATCTCGAGACGGTTCTCCAAGCGAAAATACGTCCTCTTACTGTAGTTCCAGGAAAGTCCTTTATCGGGTTTTCCATCCAGAGGGGATGGATGAGGGTAGATTCGACTTTTTGCATGGCGCAATGTCTTTTGATAACATCTGGGATGAGATTAGTCGTGCCAGTGAAGAATGTCTTAAGAATGGTGAGCCACAGGTATACATCGTTAGTTGGAACGACCATTTTTTTATCCTCAAGGTCGAACCCGAAGCTTACTACATAATCGACACATTGGGAGAGAGGCTTTACGAGGGATGCGATCAAGCTTACATCTTGAAATTTGACAGCAGTACCGTAATTCACAAGATAGCAAATACGGCTGAATCAGCAGAAGATAAACCAACCGGTGATGAGAAGATAGCAACAGCTGCGACCAAACCGAAAATTTCACCGGTTCAACTGGTCAATGGAAAGGACGACAGTTCTGTTGCAGGATCCGTAGCAACCAAACCCGAGGAATCGGTAAAGAGCAAGGATGTTGAGGAGGTTGTTTGCCGAGGAAAGGGGTCTTGCAAGGAATACATTAAGAGCTTTTTGGCTGCTATACCTATTAGGGAATTGCAGGCAGATGTCAAGAAGGGTTTAATGGCATCAACACCGATACATCACCGACTACAAATCGAACTCCACTATACCGAGTTCTTCCAACCACGACCCCAGACTTCCACAACTCCGATGACAACCACTACTCAAATAACAACAGCTTAAACAGCAGATGGCCGAACTCCGTTAACTGAAGTTGCTGCATAGACTTTGTACTGTAAAATGAGTAAATCCTAGGGAAAGTGTGATTTACACTAACTTGTTCTCTATCTTTAGCGTGTATCTTATGATTATAATGGCAGTTTAATTTAACCAAGGGGAACTCTTTGGACTCAAGTGAGTGTCGAATACGAGTATGTTTTAACGCGGACATGAACATGATCAATAAAATTGTGTATTCAACAGTTACCGAGATTCTCTCCTGTTCTAGCTCAAGATGTACTAGTGCAGCTTTGTTCGACTAATGGTAATGGGTTCCAATTTCCCATATGATTGCCTGATGACGAGCATGATTCTCTGACTGAAAACCCAGATTTTCTTTTCCTTTCGTTTATTTTCTTTTTCCCTGTATCCTACAGAAGGCAAAGCTGATCTTTCTCAAGGGTGGTGTTTGGGGGCCGAGAAAAGAAAAGATTCTTTAGACCATATGGTCCAATTACAGAAAAAAGAAGGGAACTTTTTCATAAAGTTGTTTCTTTTGATTCTTTCAACAACATTTTTTTCTCTGTTAAAACCTCGTGAACGAGTTGAATCATTATTATACCAAACGTCGAGCTAATTGGCTTTGTCGTGTTTGGGGATTAAGATCACGAGAACATATGAAGAATACGTGTAGGATCGGATACGGTTGTGTACATCTACGGAAAAGAATCGTATTTTCGCCTTGTTGATGTTATGAGCTGTATTGGTCGAATTATGGCTTTCGTCACCTTACTATGTTCAAAATTAGAATTTAGTCCATGTATTTTAATTTGACATAATTTCATCACTTTATTAATGTTATTAATTAGTTCAAAACCCAAAATAGTTCAATATGTTAATTATTTCAGGTAAAATGTTAATCCAAAATTTCATAAAAAGCTCTTAATTTTATTTAGTGTATATATATAAAGGATTTTTATTATGAGGAGTGAGAAGGGGGACAAATAAGGTTGTAAATGAATAGATTATTTGATAAATTATACATGAATCGTTTATTTATTATTATTTTATTAATCTGGAGCAAATACAAGTCAATATTTGTTCAAAGATAACACTCAACCATTTGACATTGAAAGCTCATACCCTGATACTTCTGGTACTCGAACCTATGACCTCAATGAATAACAATAATTTCTTTACTGTCGAGGTCGATTGGTTCGTTTATGATTTGTAAAGTGACACTCTTACCCTTGTCATCATCACGTTTGTTTTGGATTCCTCTCAATGACTTTATCTACATCTCAAGGAAGAGCCCATGTGCATTATTCTTCTTTATTGCCCTACTCCATAATCATTTCAATCTCATCTATTGTCAACCTCCACCTTTAACATATCCTCTTCCATGCTTCTCCAAATTGGTGCATGCCACACTACCAAACTTTCATCAATGTTGTTGTTTTCATCTTAATTATATCTGTTTAGGGTTTAATCATTTCGGTTTCATTCGATAACAATGTTTTTTTTGGTCTAAAATATTATAATTTAAAATAGAAATATTAAAATTCGAATTTTAAATCAATTTATTGAACAAATTAATTGAATTAAACTTTAAATTCATATTATTTCACTTTTTTTTAACTTTTGGGAGTAGAAAGTGAAAAGGAATTGGTTGGTAATGCTTGCTTTTTGACTCTTCTAGAAAGCGAAAGCAAAAAAGCAAATAAAGTTGGTTTTTAACCCTATTGATTGATATTAACTTTGTTACCACTTTTATCCTAAAATTGAGGGAAAATTATTTACCAATGAATAATATTTTTTATATTAGTTTTTTAAGGTTAATCTTCACCTCTTTCATACGTATAAATAAGAACTTGATAGTTATTTGGAAGTTATTTTAAAATTAATAGATGTGATTCACTGAGACTATGAATAACGTGGTGAGCCGAGTCTATAAAATTATTTCTCAAATTGAGAATTTTAATTAAACGTTCACTTCAGTTTTTTTTTGACTTAAATTAAAAAAAATATTCAAACTATGTCATTTTTTGTTTATGTATATAAACTATTTTTTATCAAATTAAGTCCTTAAACTATTATATGTAATCACTTTAAGTACTTAAACCATTTTTAGTCAAAATAACTCCTTAAACTATGAAATTTTTGCTTTAAGCCCCTAAACTATTTTTTTGGCAAAAACAAGTACCTACTTTTATATGATGTGTCAACATCTTATTGGTCGAAAAATATTTTTCTAACTGAAAAAAATGATGAGACTTAAAATGATTAAATATAATAGTTTAAGGGCTTAATTTAACCAAAAAATAATTTAGCTACTTAAAAAAAGAATGCATAGTTAGAATACTCAATTTTCCTTTAAGCCTAGTTTTCTTTTATAACTACTTAAATATAATATATTTATTGATTAATTCAAATCAAATATAATAAAAGTTTATATATAAACTATTTTTTCGATAATTTTGTCTTTCACAATTCAAAATTTAAATTCCTAATCTCACTTAAAAAAATTTAACGTGTCATCCCGTTAAATCAACGTATAGTTAATCAAATCTTTACTTAAATTGGTAAACATTAAAAATCCTAAAATCTCAAAAAAAAATATTGAATACAATAAAGTTTTTTTAAAATTCGATTAAACATAACTACTTCTAGTTTTAGGATTATAGATAGTTTATATTATAATTAAAATATTTTTCAAGCAATACTACACTACAATCAAGGTAATTGACCATGAAAATAACTTAAAAGATTTACTTTCAATGTATTTACTGTCGTGCCCTATATATAGATTTTGAATTATATATGGGATAGAATCATGTTACACGTAAGACTCTTTTAATTTTACACAGATTTATGACTATTGAAATGAAGAAAATAGATAGTTGAGATCAACGATAAGAAATGATAAGATATTCACGAAAAAAACAATGAGTTAATTTCAGTTATCTATTTTCGATTAACCAACGATCTTAATATATATATATGTGTGTACGTGTGAACAAATAGAAAAATCAGATCTTTGTATAACAAAGAAGGCATGATTTAGACCATTGGTAATATATTAGTTGAGGAAGGGAAATTAGATACAAAGTTTCACCATTTTGTTCATCTACACAACACTGAATTAATGACTCATGAAACATCAGCATGCATTTTTCAGCTGCAAGACGGGCATTTGATCAATCCATTTTCATTACAATCATTGCATCTCTTGATGCAAAACTCATGATGATGATGATCATCATCATCACCATCATCATCATCATCATGATCATGATCACATCCTTTTTCTTCATAAACCTTGCGGCTGCCATTGCAGCTGGAGCAAATCAAGAACCTCAGATTGCCACAACAACTGCACACATTGTTGCCGATAATATTGCCACTCGAAGGCATCTCTTCCAACAGCTTCTTCAGCTTCCCTTGCTCGTGAAGTCCGACGACCTCGTCGGCTCCGCCGATGTATCGGCCTTTGACGAAGAGCTTCGGAGGGATGACTCGACCGCCCAACATGTTCCACAGCTCTTCCCTGAAACCCTTGTCCATTGAAACATCTCTCTCGTGGACTGATACCTTGAAACTGTCCAAAAGAAACTTTATTCTGCTGCAGTCTTCGAATGTTTTTCGGATCCCTCGTAAGCTCGTCGTGTAGAAAACGACCGCGTTCTCGCCGCCTGGCGGACATTTCTCTTCGAAATCTGTCAAACACGGATGTTCGACGTCGAGTTCATCGTCTTTTCGATCTTTAACATCAACGTTGTTGGTTTTGCAGTTTTGGTTGGAGACAGTGTGCTGATGGAAGGCTAACCCTTGTTTCAAAGTGTTGATCTTTGTAGGGTTGAATTTGAGTTTCTTTAGAAACCCTCTTCTTCCCTGCATGCCTTTCATGATCTCTTTAGCATGGAAATGAGTATAAACTTTGAATGAGAGCTGTTTGGGAAGAGAGAAAGTGAGGGAAAGTCGGAGAGAAAGACGTAGGAGGATGGGGTTTCAAATGGAAGGGAAGTCATCAAAAAATGAAAGAAAAGGGGCAATGTGTTGGGATTGCTTTTAAAAGTTTTGATTGATCACTGAAACCAGTGGGGTATCCCTTCACCATTGGAGTACACTGTCCCATACCCAACATTTTGGTGCCCTAATCACGGCATAAATTTTGTACATTCCTATTATATTAGGTTAAAGTTTTATGATATAACATCGTTGGACTGAAATAACTTAATAATTAATAATTAAAACGAACTCATGGAGTGATCCCAATGATATAAGATGTTATATTCTTCTCGGTGATCCGAGTTCAAACAATATTATCTTTAAAGTATGTGGTTTATCCAATAAAAAGGCGAAAGATATTACAAAAGGATCACAATCGAGAATAATGGAGGGACAAAGAAAACTCACGGACTAATGTGGGAAAAATAGTTAAACTCAGAGATTAATATGATCCAAAAAATAAATCTAGGGATTAATATGGACAGAAACCGGCGGACTAATGTGGGAAAATAGCCGAAATCATGGATTAGATGAAAATAATTGTTCTGCGTTATAATAATGTTAAATTATGATTTTGGTCCTCTACTAGAATCAAATTTGGGGAATTTGTTCCAACAAATTTAATGTTATTAATTAGTCCCAAAAAATAACATGGCTGAATTTTCCAATTAAAATGTTGACCCAACTTTTTTCTTTAAAATCACTTGTAATCCATCATCTTGATACAAACTTTTTTGGTCAAATTTTATGTTCAGTACTTGTACCATGTATAAGCTCCGAATTTAGTCCCTATACTATATTTTAGTATATTTTAATTCATATATTTTTCAAATTTTGAAATTTCATTCTCTACACAAATGATACAAAGACAATATAACTAAACTGAATGACTTAAAATTATCATATTGGATAATATGATCTAAATCTACATCTAACCTATAATATAAGGAATAACTGGCGTTTTATCTAATTAGTGGAAGATTAAGAGATAAGTCGTTCATCCTTTTTTCTTTGTTGATCGATGACAGCACTAATTGCAGTGTTAATTACCAATCGTCGGTGTTCTTTATTGTCCTTTTATTTTCTTATATCACATCTTTATCTTCTTCTTTTTATTATTATTTTTAATAAGTTTGCATGCATTGCACATTTTCATCCGTCTTTATGACACATTTTCTTCTATCTTTTGATACGTTTTTGGTCGTTTGGTTGTTGTTTTCACTTATATTTTTCTAAAGGTTGATTTGATATCGTCACGACTAATCAAGATTATGCTTATATGTTATATTGTTGATCTTCTCTGTTTTGGACCATCGGATTGGATTTGGATACCCCTTATGCGTTCATGGATAGCTTTTCACGTCGCTCGAGTCGGATTTACTATTTGTCGGTGGTCTTTCAGTAACTTGATTCCTTTTTGTGATTTGTTTGCCGATACGACCAGATCTGTTTGTATCTATCTTTGTTCGAGCTGTTTGTTTAGATTTTAATATTTCCTTTTATGACTCTTATGTGATCTTAAGTTGCTAGTTTTGCTTCAACGAGTATATGAAATTATCCTAATCATGTGCGTAATTTACGATTATCATTTGTAAATCTTTATTATAAATTTTGTATATTTTTTATTTCGAATAAAATTAGTGATTTCTATAAAAAATCAAAATTTTATTGGAGGATATTAAACTTTTTACCAATCGACTTGATACATGTTTCGATACAAATATTGATTCAAGAGACAATCGAGTCCCAAAAGTTGAACTTTGTTCCTCTATCTGCAAATTAGTGAAAGTTGATGGACCAATATTGATTAACATATGACATGGTGCTTTGGAAAGCAATGAATGAAGATGATGGTTTGAAAATTTGAGCCATGCACCTGCCATTAAAAGAGGCTGGCCTATTAATGGTCATATGGTATAGCAAGCGTGCAATGGTTGTGCATGCTTTACTCTTTAATTTCTAGCCATCAATTGCAAACCCATTGAACAGGTGCCACAACTTTGTCACGTTTACACTCTGGTTCTAAATTAGAGATGGACAAAACCGATATTTGTTATGGACTTTCAAAGGATTTATAAGCATCTTCGAATCTTCGGTCTTTCCTACATCTTAGGAACTCCGAAAGACATGAAGAGAACAACTCCGAAGGAAGGAGCTCAAATATCTAACATTTCTTAGGAAGCCGCAACATATTGGCATGACTTCTGATAGGCTCACGTGGCTTACCATAACCAAATCTACTGTCGATTGATCATATCCACTTAACCTGCTAGTCTACGGGTAGTCATGATGACCCTACTCTAAGACCAGCTCCAAGAGTAACTATAAAACCTCTCAAACATGACCGAGCCAAGGATGGAGCCTTGTCACCCTAACTTATCTTTCTTCTACCACCTTATGGAAACAGGATACTTTAACATAAGCCAACAATCATTCTCTAACTGGTTGCGTCTCTCCGTCTAAACCAGAAGGATTAAATTACCTATAGTCATCATAAATCATTTGTTTCCATCAACAACGGTTCGGGAAAAAACTCATATAAGAAAAGAATCAATTGAAATGCACCATAAAGGCAAAATAGTCAGTATCACCCCAACACACACACTTTCTTCCTAAAATATCCCCTCGACGCATTTGATTATTTCTAGCCAACATCTGCATATGCCACCGCAAATCCCTGGAAAAAGGGACTGGAAGCATGTCATTCTCTCCTCACACTGATCACTCTTCTTACGAGCGTGGGAAAAATTAGTGTAACACTATCGTTCTCGAATCCTTTCAAGGTGTTACTACTATGGATGCTCATCACGACAACACTGTATGTAGTCTCAAGAAAAGGATCATTAGGGTAATTGTGCCCAACTACTAATGGAAGAGAAAGAGTTCCAAGACATTGCTTCACAAAACACCTCCATCACTACAACACCAAAAGCAGCTTCAAAAGTGGTAAACTACTCATGTAAATATAAGCAAGCATTGCTTAAATAAGCATTGCAAGAGTTTTCTCCTCAATAGTTATAGAGGCAGCTTTAAAATGAGGGGAGTCTCTTCTTCGAAAGAGACACCAAGCCTATGATGGCAAGAAAATCTACTCAACCATTCCTCCGACAAATGAACTCGGTAATCCACACAAATTACCTTAATAATGGTAGCGTGATAAGTAAAAAACATGAGTTAAACATTTCTAGTACAACAAAAATAATGAAGTTCTTCTTCCTCTGTTTAAGCATTAATACTATACGAGCTCTGCTAGTATTGAGAGCGGATGCCTTATATCCTTCGTCATACTTCCTTCTCTTTGGCCACATGTGTCGAGTTGCCCCTGTATTTAACTGAAAATCGAATCCGAATCAAAACTTACCTGTAATAACCTAATTTTAGTTTTTAAACAAAAGGGTAATGAAGATTTTACCAGCTTTCCTTGTTTAAACCACCTTAGCATAATAAATATATATTCCATAGTCAACTATTAACCACATTGGTAGACTCTTAACCAATGTTTAAAAATATGGGTAATTTTTTTTTTGTTGAAAGATGGTATTTTGTATAACGAACTTTTACAAAGTAAACCACCTCGAGGACCTCATCAAAAAAACCCCTAATCCTAAATGAGAAAGAAGAGTGTGGTATAGGAGATAAGATACAATAAACACACAGTTGAACATCACACAAGCTCAAACCCAGCCTACTACAAACCCCAAACCCGTACCAAGAATACAACAGAAATAAACTACTGGAAGGAACTTAAACCTAAAACGAGATCGAAAATCGACTGCACATCGAACTTCACCCCATCACGCAATATACAGCCATATTCTTAAATACTATATAGGACAACACCTTATCAATTGGAATCTCCGAAATCCTTTGTCTAATGGAAAAAGAATTGGGCTGCCATAGAATTACAACACTGAAACTTTCTTTTTACTCTTATTTTGGTCATTCTCAAACGGGAATTGACATTACTCATAGTAATATCTTGCTTTCGATTTTGCATAATCTCCTTTACTGATACTTTCTTTAATTGAGGCATTTGGTATCGTTTTCGTTTAATTCTTATTGTGGTATTTATATTTCTTTATAATTTTTATTAAGGTTCAAATATACATTTAGTTCTCGAACTAGTCATCGTATCTAAAGGTATATTTATGTCTTTTATTAACAACATAGTAATATTGTGTCTTGAATAAGATTAACATTTATAAACCACATTATAACTGTGCTGTTTTTTTCCAGCATTAAACTTGTTTTAGCTAAATCCAGAGGGCCATATCATCGGCATAGAAGATAATGGCATGGAAGCTGATCCAAGTCGAAAGGTTAGAACCGGATATTACAGAAACTGATTCTCTCTATTATTTTTAGGTGTTTGGATCGTAAATTAACAGAAGCTGAGGCAAAACCGAATTTGATCGAAATTAAAAAAAAAACGAGTTTTATAAATTCCTTTGGTGTTCACTAAACATACAGTGAAATTTTGATTTCATAATCTAGATTTCCAAATTTCAGGATTTTCATTTAAAAGAGATTTTAAAGCAAATCTATCATGTATGTTAATGTTCGCAATTCTAATTAGAAACTTGATTTCATGACCTAAATCTCTTATTTAACTCTCTAACTTGGTTTTTCAGGGGGAAAAAAGCCAGGGTTGTTGATTCAAACATCTTTAATATTATGATATGTATATTTCTTATCATTTTTATTAAGGCTTAAATATACATTTGATGTCGACATCAATAGTTATTAAGAGTAAAACTTTCCATCCCCTCCCGATAAGTAAACATTATTCAAAAATAATATATATTAGTCAAGTTCTTTTTTTTATTAATACGGGGCAAGTAAAAATAGTATATGTTAAAAAAACTCTTAATCTTTTGACATTAAATGCTCATACCTCTGGCATCTATGGTGCTCGAACTCGGGTCTTCAAGAAAAATAATAATTCTTTTACTACAGATGCCAGTTGATTCGTGCATATTAATCAAGTTCGAGCATGAATGATGGATACAATTTGTGTTTAACATAAAAATGATTAATATTTTTAGATTTTTCATATATTTTAATAAGAGGTGTTTATGGTCCGGTTAAACCGGATTTATGTATTGGATAAACACACATCATGCTTGTCTAAACCTATGAGGATCTCGATAAGCTTCTCTACCATTAACTCCGATCTTGTTGTTTCTGTTTGTTAGGAGCCGCTGTTGCCAAATTCAGCTCGAGTTTCCCTCGAAATGGAAGACAATGGCAAGGAGGAAGGTGTATCAAGGCGAATGGCTAGAACCGAATATCAAATAAATTGATCCTCTCTTATTTTTCTTTTTGAATAGTTTGATATGATTATGAGGATTGTATCTCAAATCTTTCATAATAATTGACAATACACGTACATCCTACCGACACAACTGCATAGCAAATAATACTAACCGTCATCAAATGCATGACTACTACTCAACTAATCATTTCTACTTATACATCATATATGATCACACCTTCGAGGAACTAGAGTTTGATAAGCTAGTTAATTTTGATAAGCTTATATACAAGTTTGTTCCTAAATATAGACGAACTGAACATGTATTAATTCATCAAACGCTCTGTTCATTTGTAATTTTTTTACTGAAAAAGAGTTGTTTGAGTATGTTTTTACGTTTCAAACGGAATTTTGAGACAAAAAGCTTTTATAAGCATTCCCAAATTGACCTAAGTCAAAATTAAGTTAGATAGACAGAAATTAGAGGGACTTTGAGATTCCTACATGCTTCTTAATAAATGTATTAACAAGTTGGGACGACCCTGATTTACAGTTTTGATCCGTTTTAGTTTCTAAATTTTTATATTTTTAAAACAATACCTAAATATTATTTTTTATTTCATTTTAGTATCTCGTCATTAAAAACTTTCGTTTTGTTGTAGTACCCTGTTCAAAATTTAATGTTAAGTTTTGAAAAAAAAATTAAGTTTAGGTATTAAAACAGACAAAAATTGATAGTTTAGTTACTAAACGCGTTATGTTTTTAATGGCGGGTGCTAAAATGAAATGAAAACTTAACGTTGTGTGCTTTTGAAAAAAAATGTAAGTTTAAATAATAAAACGGACCAAAACTGATAGTGTAGATGATAAATGCGTAATTAACCCCAAATTTAATATACGCTAAACAATATGACCTTTGAGGTTTGGAATTCATGGAATGGAATGAGCACGGCATTTCCTTATGGACCGCTAAGTCAACAACGTAGGTTTTTTTGTTAGCTTGACCCGACCGCCATTGATGAAGCTTATAAAAGCTTAAAAATCTTTTGAAGTTGTTGAGACTTAAATTTGGGTTGAATTAATCAAGTGGGGTTTACTTATTTTCAAGGAACCGAGCTGTGCATTTTTCAGAATTTCGATTTTTGATCGTATTGTTTTTCTTCTCTTTCTTTGTTCTCGTGAATAATTCAAATTTCACTTTCAAAGTTACTTCTTCAAATTTCAAAGTTTGTTGCTCCTTGTTGAAAAAAGGGGCGAGATTTTATGTAGAAAATACTGTGATCTTTTTGTTATATTCTTCTTATTTTTACCTTGTATGAAGCCTATATATTAGAGGATTTTGTTTCACATTTTCACTCACTCATTCATCATACATTTCTCTATTAGCTCTAGAGCTTTTAATTATTTATCTTTCAATCATTTTCCATATCCACTGATTTTAGAAAAATCAATCGATTGAGTTCTAATTCTTATTTCAGGTGTACGTAATAAGAAATTTTGTGTTAACTTTGAAGGCAATCGTTCGTTTTTTGCGGTTACAAGGGCGGGATAAATTCACTTCTAAGACGGTAGACTATCACGGTAGAGTAACAATTTTTACTTATTTGTTTGATTACATTGTGTACTTGTGCTAATCGATTTGTTTTGCTACTTAGATCTTACAATTCTCTCATGGAGTTGAACGAGGGGACGGCTGGAATTGGATCTAATAAGACGGCGTCGGAGAGTGATGAAGTGGCGGCACCCGAGTCGTTGCAAGTTACCGATGAAATCCGCTGTTTGATGTTGGCTCCGGTGACCGATAATGCTAGTTCTTTCACGGCTCTGCTTGAACCTCCGGCTCTCCAAGCCGTTCAGCTCATTCAATCTCCGGACTCGTCTAAGCTTATTGCTGCTCAAGCTCCGGCTCCGGCTCCGAACGTTGATGATTTCAAAGCCAGCTTTCATTTTCCTTTTAATAGTGGGTTAATGGAACGAGCGGCGAAGTTCTCTATGTTCACCGGAGATGATATTGGTAACATCAACGGCAATAACAAAAGCAACTCGCCTGAACCGAGGTTGTACAATTCAAGCGCCAGTCACCAGAAACCGGTGAAGAGTGAGCCGGGCGAGAACGAGTCACCTCAGCAGTTAGTTTCTGATCCAACGGTGGAGAACCGGAGTATCAAGAGAAAAGACCAAGGAAAGGTGAAAATTTCTGATATCGGCTTTTTGAGTGCTTCCATTTTTGGTAAATTTTGATCAAATTAGCTGATAAATTTGGTTTTTGAGCATTTTAGGTCAAAGGGTCGACAAAGAAAAGCATAACTGCGGCGGAAGAGAGCTCCGACGACACCGAGAAGCTACCTTACGACCATGTTAGATCTCGCTGGGGACAAGCCACGGATAGTCATTGCTCAGCTGAGGGAGTAATTCACTAATTTTGATGACCGGGTCCTTAATCAGTTTGCTTCTTAGTTAATTTGTCTTGGTTAAGCCAATAATATTTGTTTTTAGGCAAGGATAGAGAAGATAAATGCACGTATGAAGCTTCTACAGGAGTTGATTCCAGGATGCAGTACGGTCAGTTCAATTGGATTATTAGGTTCATTAATGATTTGATCATGATTATGTCTTTAAGGTAAGAATATTTGTTTAAATGGGTACACAAAAAGTGGTATTACGTCTTTAGATTATATTTCTTCAGTGATGATTATGTCACCTTTTTGACCAAAGTGTTCTACTTTTTGCAACAACAAAAAAGCTCGGCTGGTGTGCCATGGCACTTTGATAATTTTAATGTTTTAGCCCTTCTTCCTTTGTTAGATGACGTTGTTAGGAGTCCTGTTTTAGGTTAACCACGTTTCTCGAGGAAAGTCCAACTTATATGGCTATCGGGAAAGTTCAACTTTTCAAACAATCAGATGTTGACTTGTAGTTTCAATTTCATCATAGAATCATTGAATTCACGTATGACCTCTTCTGATTTGCGAAATACCATGTGCTGCAGATCTCGGGGACAGCGTTAGAGTTGGATGAAATCATCAATCATGTGCAGTCCCTACAGCGTCAAGTGGAGGTGAGATGTTACTCTGTAGTAAGGGTCTTGCTATGGAGATTTTCCATCTTCTGCAACCCTCATATTATTCTCAGCATCCCGATAGGCTGGCATGTGTCATTTTGTGCTTTATGCTTTGGTTTCGACGCAGTATCTTCCACCCCCTCGGTTTGAATGTACTTATCATGCTTCTTTGGTTGCAGTTCTTATCAATGAGACTCGATGCAGTTAACCGAGGAATTGATTTCAACCTCGATAGTGTATATAGTGTATTCACAGCAGACGTAAGTATCAGACACCTTTAGTCATATGATTCTAGTCTAGAGTCAGAAATTAAAAGCTCTTTCCACAAATCTCCCATTTCATGTGACCAAGTGCAAATCTATGCTGCACGAGTCAATTATTCTAAATCATAAAACCAAATACTACTGTCTTGGATGATACATACCAATATAGTCCATCATCATATTAATGACTAATACTCAACTAATTATCTCATTCTGGAACTACAATTTGAATATTTAGATTCAAGTATTTTAACTACTGAACTCTGGTTGGTCCTTTTGTGTGTTTTGACTTCGTCTTCAATGAATAGATTTGGATCTTTCTCACTGTCAACCTTGCTATAGAGATTATATCGGCAGTTTTCGACCAGCTTGCTTCAGAGCGTAAGCCGGGATTCGCCTTGGCAGCAATGTTAATGGCTCTCACAGGTTCGTTCGGATGCATATCCGAGCTAACTTATAAGGGTAGAAAGGAAAAGGGCAGATGGAGATGGGATAGCCCCACAACGTATATGCGTTTCTGTAATTTTGCAGATATATTTGGATTGGTAAGTGCCATACTTCAAAGTATTACAGCAGTTGTGGCGTATGTCCTTTATCTCCGGCATTCTGATAATCCCATCAAGCTCAACTTTTGGCCAATTCTTTTTGCAATTGCTCTTTTGTGCTCTCAATTTCTAAAGGATCGAAGTCGGAAGGCTTCTCGGCTTTATCATGAAGGTCATACTGCATAGCTTTTTTGTACAACTATATGTGCTGCTGAGATTTTGTTGATGAAACAACCGAGATAATTTTTTATAGTTTTAATGAATGATTGACGACGTGATTATAATGTTTTACGTATTCTTGTTTGTCCAAAACACATTTTTATGTTGTGTTTGAATTTCGAAATAGGTATAAGTTGGAATTCAATGAGATCGATTTTCGAATTCGAATGGAAACTTACATGTAGCAATAAAGCGGTAATCATCTAACATGTATAAATCATTAACAAAACTTAAGGTTTTTTTATATTTTAGGATCAATTAGTTTTCAAATTAGTGAAATTAAGTTCCAATTTTTAGTTTTAATAATTTAATTACTTTTTAAAACCTTGAAAATTTCAAAGCCGAGCAATCTAATTTTATATAGTTCTATCTTGATTTTGTCCCTCTAGCCTTATCAACACAACTAAATTCATAAAGTTTAAAAATAAAATAAAAGGAAATGTTTATTCAAAAAAAATGTATGTATGTATGTATGTATGTATGTATGTATGTATGTATGTATGTATGTATGTATGTATGTATGTATGTATGTATGTATGTATGTATGTATGTATGTATGTATGTATGTATGTATGTATGTATGTATGTATGTATGTATGTATGTATGTATGTATGTATGTATGTATGTATGTATGTATGTATGTATGTATGTATGTATGTATGTATGTATGTATGTATGTATGTATGTATGTATGTATGTATGTATGTATGTATGTATGCATGCATGTATGTATGTATGTATGTATGTATAAATTTGGGATTGATAATGATTATACAAAATGGTCCCTTGCTCCATAGGCACCACTCTTTTTCCTGTTGATATGCAAATGGCAGCAGAGACATTCTTTTGTGAACTTTAACAACTAAAGAATATCTGTATTTCTTGTTTTTTCTCGTGGCATTTAATCCCAATTTTGAAATTAGACAAAATTCCAGCATATGGTAGCATTCATTAATTAGCCCCACAAATTTCATTTCTCACCTTTTCTCTCTCTCACACACACACACAGAGGAAAAAGGGAAATTAACTTTTTAATCCACTTTATCTGGATTTCATTTTGTATGTTATCATAAAGCTGAATTACATGCAGGAAAAGGATTTGTTTCCATTCAGAAATTCTAAACTCCATTTAAAAAAAATTATTCTTTTAACATTGGTCTGAATTTTACTTAATTCTATAAGAAAAATATTTAATTCGATTTGTTTGGTAAAATAATAAAGGGTAAAGTACACAAATGGTCCCCTGACTATAAGGCGTTTATTTATTGAGCCTCTCGACTGTTAACAGTTACAAAATGATCCTCTGACATTAAGATATTGCTTTATTGAGTCACTCGACTATTAAAAGCTATAAAATGGTTAGTTGACTATTCATTGTGTTATAAACTAATATTTTTCCGTTAAAAATTAAGGGTAAATTACATGTTTAGTACATAAACTATCAATTTTGGTTCGCTTTAGTACCTCAACTTTCAATTTTTTCAAAACCATAGCTAACGTTCTGTTTTTGTTTTATTTTAGTACATCTGTTCAAAATTTAACGTTAAGTTTTGAAAAAAATTTGAAAGTTTAGGTGCTAAAATGGACTAAAACTAATAGTTTAGGTTCTAAACGCATTAAGTTTTTAACGGCGAGTACTAAAATGAAACAAAAACTAAACATTATGTATGGTTTTGAAAATTTTGAAAGTTTAGGTACTAAAACGGATCAAAACTGAAAGTTTATGTACTAAATGCGTAGTTTACCCAAAAATAAATGACAATTTGAGTTGGATGTTAATATACTAACTGAGATCTGATAGTTATTTGAAATTTTGGATCAAATTATATCATATCTCAGTTAACAGTTTAACAACTAAATATCAAACTATCATCAATTTTTTAACGAAAAGGATGAGTTCGTAACACAATGAATAGTTAAGTGACTATTTTGTATCTTTTAATAGTTAGGGGACTCAATAAAGTAATATCCTATAATTGAATGACCATATTATAATTTTAAATAGTCTAGAGACTCGATAAAGTAATATTTTATATTCGGGGTACCATTTGTGTACTTTACCCCAAAATAAAATCGAGAAAAAATATAAATATGTTATGGATTTGTACTCCCCTTGTGATTTATCATCCATAGAGTGAATTTTATCTTCTCTATCTATAGCTTTTCATAATCCTTTTAAGGTAAACTTTTGTCTTTTTTATTATTTTAAGATAATCCTTTTAGGTAAATTTATGTCTTTTTTTATTATTATTTTTCATGAATTTTTTTATTGTTTTACTATTATGAGTAAACTATATTAGTGACCACCAAAATATAGCCTTTTATTTTGACTACTATTTTTGAATTCTTGTCAATTAGGCTACCCAACTATTTAAACGCATTCAATCAGACTACTTATAGTTAGCATTTAAAGAAAGTGTTGATGTGACAACTAATAAAATTGGTATAATTTCACACTTGATCCTCAATATTTATACATTCTATCAATTTGGTCATAAATTTAATTTAATAAATTTAATTTCAAATTCCTCTTATTTATTGTGCTACAAACAGATAAATTATGGAAAGTAACTCCGACAAAAAAGATTATAGATTTTTTTAAAAATAAGTATAAAATTATAAAAATAAAAGATTATAAATTTATTTTTATTTTCAAATCTCGTATTTAATTACTTTTACCATTAATGATATTTAAAAATATATCAAATAAATTGTAATTTGTGCTAAGATATATAATTTGGCGGTTGAATTACTTGTACCTTTACATAGTATACTTAGTTTGGTTGTAGAATATATAAATTTTGTTGTAGAAAACTCCCAATTGATACTTCAGGCCGACTGGACAAATCCTAATTGTCCCAAGATTAAAACTTAACAGCAGCATTTCTTGCATTAATTGGAGGGTAAAATATTAAATTTTAAATAATAATTAAAACTAAAAAATAACTTTCAATTGTATAGTGATATGTGTCACCACCTAATTGGAAATTAAATTTATTAAATTGAATTAAATTTATGACCAAAATGATAGGATGTATAAATATTGAGGATCAAAAGTGTAATTATATCAATTTTATTAACTGTTAGATCAACACTTCCGTTAAACATTAACGGCAAGTGATATGATTGAACGCATTTAAATAGTTGGGTGGCTTGATTGATAAGAATTTAAAAAATATGGTGGTTAAAATAAAAAGGGACTAAATAGTTGGATGGTACAAAGAATTGGATTGAAATTGTCGCCTTGTAATAAACCTCTTTAATATTCAATATAGATTAATCGATCAATAGATTAGATTTTGATAATTAATTAAAAATAAATAAATATACTTTTAAATTTAAACCTCTAAATTCATTAAATAAAATCATTTATGCATATTTTAAAAATATATAATAATAATTAGAAGATAACATAAAATTTTGAAATGATATAAATATTTGTAGAATAAGGTAGAATATTAATAGTTAATAATACGAATATAAATCCAATATTTAAACTGTTGGGGGGGGGGGGGGAAACTCATTTACGGTTTTAATAAAAATAGTAAGTGCATGTAAATAATCCTTTTATTAATTTCAGACGTTGGCATGCAAATGGTGTCGGAAACCTGTTTGGCAACTCAGAAAGCGAGGGAAAATGAATAAACAAAGAACATGAAAGAAAATAAATGAGTAAATAAAGTGCGCTCTATTCATTTCTGAAAATTAGTGGTATACACAAAATAACAAACAAACAAAAAAATCTAACTTGAACAAGAAGAAACACCATTACCTTCAATGATCTCTTCTGATAATGAAGATAAACAAAGGGTTTTATTATTATCATCATCAGATTTTAACGAAGACTCACAGGGAGTTTCAGAAGTCTGAGTATCTTCAGATAAAACGATGAAGAAGAAGTATAAAACGACAATGGAGAACAAGGACTTGACGATGAAACGGCTACCTTTTTCAAAAGCAAACCGACGAAAGCTCCAAGGATATATCCATGGCTGCTTTTACCATTAGCTTTCAAGTACCACCCCAAGAGTTCTTCGAGGCTTTCCCTGTCTTTTAACCCCTGAGCTTCCACCATTTCTTCCATGGATTCCCTGAAATCGACGAGCGGATTCAAGGACTCCATTGATAAAACCGTCGTCTCCTTGAACGGGGCTGAGTCTACTGACTCGGTGATGTACGTCCCTAACTTGGCTTCACTAGGCTCGAAGAACAGCCTCTCCGATCTTAATCTCAGCCCTTGGATGACGGTCTCGACTGTATCGACAGCCGCCCCCGTCGCGGACTCGTCGGAGGCGGTCGAGAAGCTCGGCGACTCCGACGAGTTCGAGAACCAGGACTCGGGCGTTTCGTCCGTTCGGAAAGAGTGAGTTCTGGGTTGGTGACATGATGGCCACGGCCACGAGGAAGGTTTTGGTTTTTCGCCATTGGTGTACTTGGGGAAGAAAGGGAGCTTCGTTTTCTTCCCCATGTGAGAGCCCTTTGTGGTTTTGGCTTTGGTTTTTTCACTTTGATTTATATGATAAAATGCAAACACTTTGGGTCCGGTTTGTATGTGGCCGTTGATGGATGGGTTTGTGAAATTGAATAATATTTAAATAAGATTTTGAATCTTAGGTTAAAAGAAATTAATATTTGAGATCATATTAAATAAAATGTTTGTAAAATTTTAAAAAACTTAGCTATCATTTTTATAATAAAGTTGATAAAATTTAATAATTATTTTATAATTATATAAAGCTTAAATAATAAAATGATTATTTGAGTATAGTTTGATGGTGTCTGATGTACTTTATCTTAATTTTGGTCATATTTATATATTATTGTTAGGTGTATTGATTATATCAGCTTTAAAATTTACTACTACTCTTATTGTATCAGTTGAATTCATTTATTACTACTTTTATGGTACTCCAAGTATTTATTTTGTTTGCTTCAAAAGTACTTCTTGGGATATTAATTTTGCATAACCCTTATGCTTGCTAGGGATGGACATGGGATCCGAATCTGACGGGT